TGTCATCACTAAACTTTTTTGGTTTTATTTGCAACCGCTTTTGAAGTTTTTGTTGTATTTATCTTCATTTCTTTTTCTGCCTACAACTATCAAGAAAACAATCTTAAACACTTCAGAACCATTCATTGCTTGGTAAAAACGATTCATTATAGAGATGTCAAAATGGCTCAAATCATTTGGCATGGCATGACATTATATGGCTTAATACGACATGCATAAAATAATTTAGTTTTCATAACAACACAATATAAGCACAAAATATGCACAAACTGTGCATGACATAATTTAATGTTCCATTAATATTATATAGGTGACAAAAATGACCCATTTGACATCTCTAATTCATTATTGTACTTTTCCCAACCAATATTGGTCCCAGAATGCAAATTATTTTTAAATTTTCAACTATTAGACAGTCTTGTAGCACTTTGACGTTTTCTTCAAGGGATGAGAATCCACTAATTTTGTTGGCAGGATTCATTATATGTGAAGTCAACACCTTCTTAACAATTAAACTTTATGTATTCCCACTTTTTGCCTCCAGATTCCTTACCTTCTTAGTCTTCTTTACAATTTGGCTACCAAGTTTCACAAGACCCAAAAATAGACATAATCCACACATTAGCAGAAGGACTTTTCATACTTTCCCTCAAATTCTTTGAATCTTTTTTTCCCTCCAATTTATCTTCTCTTTTTCAATCTCATTTTTTTTTTTTTTCTAGTTCTTTATTTACATCTTCCTCTTCATCACATAGCTCATTATATATCTCCATAAGTTTTTCATAGTTTTTGCTCATATCTTTCACTTAACCGTAATTATGCTTCAAATAGTTGTATATGTCTATACCTCGTATAATTGCAAAATTGGCTGCTATTACACTTGCTATTTGTGTTGCTAATAATGGATCAACAACCATTCGACAAATATTGTTGAAATTTGATGTATTAAACAAAATCGGTTATCAAGCTAACAAAACATAATAAATGTTCTATCAAAACATAACCGAATTGTCAATTAAGAATTTTCTATTGCATAATAGTTTCAAAGTTCAGTACTGCTATAGTAATTCATTCCCTTTAGATACTATCATGTAATGTAAATAAATTATGATTAAGAATTTTCCCATCTAGTTGAACTAAAACAATCTTAAAAGGAATTGATTAATGATCAAACCATCCACACATCAGATGAATGTTCTGTATACGAGAAAAAAGATGGTGAAAAATAATTGTTGACTAAAAAGCAAATGATGAGTTGGTTAACAAACTTCCAAGTATCACTAATAGGAAGTATCACTAATTGCAAAGAAGAAACAGCTAAAAAGGCCCCTTCAAGTTGTACTAGAAGGTATGACAGAAGATTGTCTTTAAGAAAAATGAAATCTGGCAATTGCAAGAGACTTGGTATATGCAGAGTTGGAACATAGTAGACTTGAAGCTTTTTCAAGGCTACATGGTGTTGTCACAGGCAACCAAAAATAAAATCTATACTCCAAAAAAAAAAAAAAAAAAAAAAAAAAAAGAATACATGTAGTAGTGCGAGTAAGGATCATTCCCTTCGGAATTTTACAACTGATCATCGATGCAAGTATATATCAATTCATAGTCTGAATATTCACAGTTGGAACTATTTTTCTATCTCTCCTTAGTCATAATTAATTAGAAAACAAGCTATCTAATTAATCTTACTACTAAACAACCCAAGACAAGCACTAAAGGTTTAATCTAGTAGCAGCTTTAAGAACTAGAGAGATCGATGAAGCTGAACAACACAAACACAAGCGATTGTATTTAATTTAGTCGAGCGTTTTTCTTAAGATTTAATAAAACTTGACGCAGCAAATTCTCAAATCTTAGTTACTTCACAAATTAGAGGGATCAAACAATTACGGATTTGATATCTAATTTAGCAATAGATTGCAATGAATAATAAACTAGTAGGCCTCCTTGTAATTAAACGAGACAACCATGACAATGGGCATACAGGAACATCCGATACTCAAAGCATAAATTGAACACTAAAAACAAATTAGATCTCACAGTTTTATTAATTCCGAGGCCTCCGTTTCCTTCGACCAAGTTATGAAAATTTAGCCGCTCATGGCCATCATGAAAACTCAAAGGAGAAGTTGGAGAAAAGGGGTAGGAAAGGCATGCGTAGTCAAGTCTGATCTCTCCCTCCCTCTTAAAATGTCCAATTCAAATCTTTGAATTCTACTCAATCTCCTAAAAATATTCTAAGTTTTATCCTAAAATAACATGTATCCAAATTTGATTAATTAAAAATAAAATAAAGTCCTAATATAACTAGGAAAGTGGTGTTTCCAACTATAACTTTCGTGCACCAGATCGTCAAAACTTCCAATAATAAACCGCATAATTGAATTGCACGATAAGGCCGAATGTTTCAGAACGTCAGTAGTGCAGGTGCATAAATTTCAAGCCCAATTCTAGCATTGATGCAGCGAGTATCTCTCAAAACTCAAAACATTAAATTTGTAGATCCCTTTCTTGGGTTCCATAGCATTTTGAATCATCTCAATCGGAGCTCGGGTGAGAGAGTTATCCTAAGATTACGAAGCAATGTTGAAACTGTCCAAAATCACCCAATTAGTTTCGTTTTGCATTTAACGCCTCCATTTGCATCCTAAATCAAAACAAAATAATAATGAGTACATTTGGCACCAAATAAGTAAAAAAGACTAGACATTAAGGGGGGAGAATATGACATTTTGCATTCTCATCACTACATTATCCCTTGTAAAATGTACATCAATTTATGTATGTTTTGTCCAAATTTGGATTTGCAGCGCCTAAATTATCACACCAGCAAGTAGGAAAACCAAGAAATTTGATCTCAATTTAGCAAAGAGACTTTGTAACCTTGAACAAGAGAAAATTTCAAGATTGAAACTTGTTATGTTTTTGGAATGAAACTATAAGGAAATATGTAAAAGATGGTGCATTATCCTAAAGTTATGAACTCCAATGCATCCACCAACTTTTCTTTGCCTTTAATATCACATCTTTGAACCTAGAATCAATACCTCTATTCTTCAAATCAATGCTAAAAATAGGGGTGCAAAATGTTTTTTTTTAATCATACTTGATAGGGAAAATTATAGTTTCTCATATAAGGTTTGGTTTTGCAGGAAATAAAGGTTGTTCAGTTTCCCTGCAAAGTAAGTTCAATTCGTTTCTCTAAAGAATGAAGTTTAATGTCGAAAATGGTGTCCGTAGAATTGACTGTTTAAGTAAATGTTTTGAGTGTGAAAAGACTTAGATTTAAGCCCTGACTCGAAATATATGTATAGTTTTTTATATGAACCATGTTCATGAGTTTACATATAGCTTGTGTTACTAGTCCACCAACATCTTTCAATTTATAAATCTTTCTCAATAGTTGGACTTTAGTGACTCCTATGATTTTGAGAAGCGGCTCACTTCCTTTAGATACAGAAAGTGGTTGCTCCACATGAATGCATTGAATGGTGCCAACTATTGGGCTTTTATCCCTTTGATGGGTTTATACTGGGCCTTAACCCTAGTGTATGAGCCTGATTGGCCCATTTACTGGCCCATATGTGATCTTTGTATTCTTTGGGCAAGGTTGCACCACATTTTTAAAACTATGAGCTGTTATCTTCATACCATGGTTATTAGTATCCTACGATATCCGATACGTATCATACGATACGATTCGATACAGGTCACCAACGATACGTATCAGAGAGTGTATCCTAAACTATTCGATACGTTGATATGTATCCTACGATACGATACGTATCTGTTCGTATCCTTAAAAATATTGATATAAATCGATACGATTTTATTAATTTGGGCCAAAGGTCCAAAAAAAAATTCGGGTCGAAACCGGGTCACCCAACCCAATTCACTAAAACCTGTCTATATTTACCTATTTTGCATGAAGAAAGTGAAGAGAAATATTTATTGCCCATTTTACATGATAATAATAATATAAGTGGAGATATAGATATTGACATTGATCTTGAAATTTTGTGATTAATTTTGATTATGTAATACTGTAATTTAAAGTCAATAATACCACAAAATTCTTTAATTAATCTTGGGGATTATATTAATTTTTAGAAAATTTTGATTATTTTATTAATTTTTTTGAAAAAGGTGTATTTTAAGATACGATACAATACGTGATACATGATTCAAAAAATTAGGTTTTTGATACACGATACGATACACGATTTGATAACTATGCTTCAGACCCTTTAGACCTTTCATTTTATCGAGAAGTGTTCAAATTTTGAAATTTATTTTTGTTTTTTTAGATTCGTTCCGTCATCTAATAGTTTTAATAAATTTTCATCAAACAAAAAAAATATTTAAAATAATAAAAAATCTTTTAATGATTATGAAAATTTATATTTTGGGTTCATGTGAGAATTAAAGTTTAACTTTTAATATATATGTATATATATATAAACTTATTTAAAAAAAAAAACATTTAAATGTGATCACACTGCTAAATTAGATGAGGGTTAAAAATCAGTCCCCTTTTATCCCAAGATGGATTATAATGTTAAGCATTAAATTCTCAAGATATTCCTTTGAGGCGTATATAATGTAACACATAAATCCTAACAAATTAAAATCTTTCCTTGATTTGAACTCTTTTGCTTTTTTAATGATGTAATAACATATCACATTTATAGGTATTTGTGGTTAATATTTCTTGTGACTCATATGACATTTATAGATAGGTTGTACTAAAGAAGATAAGGTTTCTTTAATTGAAATGATGTAATTAAAAACTTCAATATAGGTATTTAAGCATTGTTCAGTCTGAAGCATTTGCAGACTTCTTACTTGGGAAGTTTCCAGCTTTCATATTTCTATAACATAAACAAGAAAACTTCTTAATTAAAATAGAAAAACAATCGAAACAAAAGAAAGCAATTAATTTGGCTCAGGTATCCAAGTAACTTCTTTTATAAGTTAAATATAATAGATGTATAGCATGAAGTGGTCGCCAGAAAACATCATACTCTTAAACCTATCTCAAGGTTGACCTAAATATGTAAAGAATCAGAGAGGACAACGGAAAATTTAAGACATTCAAATATATTTTGAATTACAGGCTCTGAACAAAGATCAGGATCCTCTCATCATACAAGTTTTACCTAAACAAAACATACATATCCAATCTTGCAAGTTATTGAAACAAAAACACTGGAGTCATCCATTGCATAAGAAGTTGAAGGTTCAACGACCAACAACGAGGATTGAATCGGTGGTAGACACGGCGGCAACAGAAGCATTTCCAAACAATGAAGGAAATGGTATCTCGACCTCATTGTCCGGAGCTTCATCTTTGCTGTGAATAGACTGGTTATATTGCTTGTAGATGGTACATCTGGCAACACAACATCGCCATCCAGATACTGCATCACCTGCCTCATGGTAGGCCGACCTACTGGATTTCGGAAACAACAAAAGAGGCCGAGTTTTAGCACCAACTTCATTTCATCCTCCGCAAAAACACTTTCTAACTGTGGATCACTAGCATCAAGAATCGACCCTCTTTCCCAGCAATCAGCCACCCAATAAACCAAATTCCCCCTCTCAGGCAACCCGTTTTGCTCAAGAGGCCTCTTTCCGCAAGCCACCTCAAGCATAAAAACTCCAAAAGCATATACATCCGTGCAAGTAGTTGCCTTTCCAGTCCTCATTAGCTCTGGAGCCATGTAACCAAAAGTTCCCACCAGCTTGGTGGTTTGGGGATTGCCACCATGATCATATAATCTGGCGAGCCCAAAGTCTCCTAATTTTCCATTCAGATCTGCATCTAAAAGAACATTTCCCGGTTTTATATCTCTGTGTAGAACCACTTGTTCCCACTCTCCATGGAGGTAAAGAAGGCCAGAAGCTATTCCTCTAATGATTCAACAAAAAAAAGAAAAAGAATACATGTTTAGTGCGAGTAAGGATCTTCCTTCGGAATTTTCAACTGATCATCGATGCAAGTATATATCAATTCATAGTCTGAATATTCACAGTTGGAACTATTTTCTATCTCTCCTTAGTCATATAATTAGAAAACAGCTATCTAATTAATCTTACTACTAAACAACCCAAGACAGCACTAAAGGTTTAATCTATAGCAGCTTTAAGAACTAGAGAGATCGATGAAGCTAACACAACACAAGCGTTTTATTTAATTTAGTCGAGCGTTTTTCTTAAGATTTATAAAACTTGACGCAGCAAATTCAAATCTTAGTTACTTCACAATTAGAGGATCAAACAATTACGGATTTGATATCTAATTTAGCAATAGATTGCAATGAATAATAAACTAGTAGGCTCCTTGTAATTAACGAGACAACCATGACAATGGGCATACAGACATCCGATACTCAAAGCATAAATTGAACACTAAACACAATTAGATCTCACAGTTTTATTAATTCGAGCCTCCGTTTCCTTCGACCAAGTTATGAAAATTTAGCCGCTCATGGCCATCATGAAAACTCAAAGGAGAAGTTGGAGAAAGGGGTAGGAAAGGCTGCGTATTCAATCTGATCTCTCCCTCCTCTTAAAATGTCCAATTCAAATCTTTGAATTCTCTCAATCTCCTAAAATATTCTAAGTTTTATCCTAAATAACATGTATCAAATTGATTAATTAAAAATAAATAAGTCCTAATATAACTAGAAAGTGGTGTTTCCAACTATAACTTCGTGCACCAGATCGTCAAAACTTCCAATAAACGCATAATTGAATTGCACGATAAGCCGAATGTTTCAGAACTTCAGTAGTGCAGGTGCATAAATTTCAGCCCAATTCTAGCATTGATGCAGCGAGTATCTCTCAAAACTCAAAACATTAAATTTGTAGATCCCTTTCTTGGGTTCCATAGCATTTTGAATCATCTCAATCGGAGCTGCGGTAGAGAGTTATCCTAAGATTACGAAGCAATGTTGAAACTGTCCAAATCACCCAATTAGTTTCGTTTTGCATTTAACCCTCCATTTGCATCCTAAATCAAACAAAATAATAATGAGTCATTTGGCACCAAATAAGTAAAAAACTAGACATTAAGGGGGAGAATATGACATTTTGCTTCTCATCACTACATTATCCCTTGTAAAATGTACATCAATTTATTATGTTTTGTCCAAATTTGGATTTGCAGAGCCTAAATTATCACACCAGCAGTGGAAACCAGAAATTTGATCTCAATTTAGCAAAGAGACTTTGTAACCTTGAACAGAGAAAATTTCAGATTGAAACTTGTTATGTTTTTGAATGAAACTATAAGGAAATGTAAAAGATGGTGCATTATCCTAAAGTTATGAACTCTCCAATGCATCCACCAACTTTTCTTTGCCTTTAATATCACATCTTTGAACCTAGAATCAATACCTCTATTCTTCATCAATGCTAAAAATAGGGTGCAAAATGTTTTTTTTAATCATACTTGATAGGGAAAATTATAGTTTCTCATAAAGTTTGGTTGTGCAGGAAATAAAGGTTGTTCAGTTTCCCTGCAAATAAGTTCAATTCGTTTCTCTAAAGAATGAAGTTTAATGTCGAAAATGGTGTCCGTAAATTGACTGTTTAAGTAAATGTTTGAGTGTGAAAATACTTAGATTTAAGCCCTGACTCGAAATATATGTATAGTTGTTTATATGAACCATGTTCATGAGTTACATATAGCTTGTGTTAGTGTTACAGTCCACCAACATCTTTCAATTATAAATCTTTCTCAATAGTTGGACTTTAGTGACTCCTATGATTTTTGCTATATAATCTCGATGAAGTTCATGGCCAGCAGGAAATATATAGAAAGCAAGACTTCTCACTTGGACGTAACTTGTTAACTTCAAGAGACTTGTAAATTTCTTCCAAATGCTGCTTTGGTTCCCTAGTTGGTGATCTTAATTCAAGCAATGTGTTCCGCAATATTGATGGATTCGTTCCATTTGTTTCTAGAACCCTCACTTTAGTTGCTAAATGGTTTGCTATCAACTTTATCAGGTATGGTTTGCCACTACATAATTTGCTAATCAATTTTTCCTCTCTTGATTGTGGATTATCCTTCAAATGTACACCCACTTTCTCCCAAAACATATTTTGGGCATCAATGTCTAACAATCTCTTTACTTTGATCTGTTGATCCACTTGTTCACGAGCATCTAAATTCCTAGATGCAAAGACCACCTTTCCTTTTTGTTCATCATTAATGCCTAATTCTTCCAAATCAATCTTCGAAAACACTTCATCAAGTAACAATAAATAACTCATTTTCTTCAACTGTTCATGAATAATGCTTTTTCTTTCGTCATCACTAAACTATTTTGGTTTTATTTGCAATCGCTTTTGAAGTTTTTGTTGTATGTATCTTCATTTCTTTTTCTGCCTACAACTATCAAGAAAACAATCTTAAACGCTTCAGAACCATTCGTTGCTTGGTAAAAACGATTCATTATAGAGATGTCAAAATGGGTCAAATCATTTGGCATGGCATGACATTATATGGCTTAATATGATATGCATAAAATAATTTAGTTTTCATAACAACACAATATAAGCACAAAATATGCACAAACTGTGCATGACATAATTTAATGTTCCATTAATATTAGATAGGTGACAAAAATGACCCATTCGACATCTTTAATTCATTATTGTACTTTTCCCAACCAATATTGGTCCCATAATGAAAATTCTTTTTAAATTTTCAACTATTAGATAGTCTTGTAGCACTTTGATGTTTTCTTCAAGGGATGAGAATTCACTAATTTTGTTGGCAAGATTCATTATATGTGAAGTCAACACCTTCTTAACAATTAAACTTTATGTATTCCCACTTTTTCCCTCCAGATTCCTTACCTTCTTAGTCTTCTTTACAATTTGGCTACCAAGTTTCACAAGACCCAAAAATAGACATAATTCACACATTAGCAGAAGGACTTTTCATACTTTCCCTCAAATTCTTTGAATCTTTTTTTCCCTCCAATTTATCTTCTCTTTTTCAATCTCATTTTTTTTTTCTATTTCTTTATTTACATCTTCCTCTTCATCACATAGCTCTTTATATATCTCTATAAGTTTTTCATAGTTTTTGCTCATATCTTTCACTTAACCGTAATTATGCTTCAAATAGTTGTATATGTCTATACCTCATATAATTGCAAAATTGGCTGCTATTACGCTTGCTATTTGTGTTGCTAATAATGGATCAACAACCATTTGACAAATATTGTTGAAATTTGATGTATTAAACAAAATCGGTTATCAAGCTAACAAAACATAATAAATGTTCTATCAAAACATAACCGAATTGTCAATTAAGAATTTTCTATTGCATAATAGTTTCAAAGTTCAGTACTGCTATAGTAATTCATTCCCTTTAGATACTATCATGTAATGTAAATAAATTATGATTAAGAATTTTCCCACCTAGTTGAACTAAAACAATCTTAAAAGGAATTGATTAATGATCAAACCATCCACACATCAGATGAATGTTCTGTATACGAGAAAAAAGATGGTGAAAAATAATTGTTGACTGAAAAGCAGATGATGAGTTGGTTAACAAATTTCCAAGTATCACTAATAGGAAGTATCACTAATTGCAAAGAAGAAATAGCTAAAAAGGCCCCTTCAAGTTGTACTAGAAGGTATGACAGAAGATTGTCCTTAAGAAAAATGAAATCTGGCAATTGCAAGAGACTTGGTATATGCAGAGTTGGAACATAGTAGACTTGAAGCTTTTTCAAGGCTACATGTTGTTGTCACAGGCAACCAAAAATAAAATCTATACTCCAAAAAAAAAAAAAAAAAAAAGAATTAATGTAGTAGTGCGAGTAGGATCATTCCCATGAGAGTATTTAGCCTAGTTTTATGCTACATGAACAAGGATGGGGGGAATTTGAGTATAACAAAAACAATTTTAAGAAAAACAACTAAGGAACAATTCAAATTAAATTATCGAAATCAATCAAAAGAACAAACCTTGGTTTAAGGCAACATCCACCATCGAAATTTTAAAACTGATCATCGATGCAAGTATATATCAATTCAACTGAATATTCACAGTTGGAACTATTTTCCTATCTCTCCTTAGTCGCAATTAATTAGAAAACAAGCGATCTAATTAATCTTACTACTAAACAACCCAAGACAAGCACTAAAAGGTTTAATCTAGTAGCAGCTTTAAGAACTAGAGAGATCGATGAAGCTGAACAAGAAAAAACAAGCGGTTGTATTTAATTTAGTCGAGCGTTCTTCTTAAGATTTAATAAAACTTGACGCAGCAAATTCTCATCTAGTTACTTCACAAATTAGAGGGATCAAACAATTATGGATTTGATATCTAATTTGCATAGTGCAATGAATAAAAACTAGTAGGCCTCCTAGTAATTAAACGAGACAACCCTGACAATGGGCATACAGGAAACATCCGATACCCAAAGCATAAATTGAACACTAAAACAAATTAGATCTCACAGTTTTATAATTCGAGGCTTCGTTTCCTTCGACCAAGTTATGAAAATTTAGCCGCTCATGGCCATCATGAAAACTCAAAGGAGAAGTTGGAGAAAAGGGGAAGGAGAGGCGTGCGGAGTCAAGTCCGATCTCTCCTCCCTCTTAAAATGTCCAAGTCAAATCTTTGAATTTACTCAATCTCCTAAAATATTCTAAGTTTTATCCAAAATAACATGTATCCAAATATGATTAATTAAAAATAAAATAAATTCCTAATATAACTAGGAAAGTGGTGTTTCCAGCTATAACTTCGTGCACTAGATCGTCAAAACTTCCAATAATAACCGCATATTGAATTGCATGATAAGGCCGAATGTTTGGAACGTTAGCAGTGTATGTGCATCAATTTCAAGCCCAATTCCAACCTTGATGCAGCGAGTATCTTCAAAACTCAAAACATTAAATTTGTAGATCCCTTTCTTGGGTTCCATAGCATTTTGAATCATCCAATCGAAGCTCAGGTGAGAGAGTTATGCTGAGATTACAAGCAATGTGAAACTGTCCGAAATCGCCAATTAGTTTGTTTTGCATTTAACACCTCCATTTGCATCCTAAATCAAAATAAAATAATAATGAGTACATTTAGGCACCAAATAAGTATAAAGACTAGACATTAGGGAGGAGAATATGACATTTTGCATTCTCATCACTACATTATCCCTTGTAAAATGTACATCAATTTATGTATGTTTTGTTCAAATTTGGATTTGAAGCACTTAAATTATCACACCAGCAAGTAGGAAAACCAAGAAATTTGATCTCAATTTAGCAAAGAGGACTTTGTAACCTTGAACAAAGAAAATTTCAAGATTGAAACTTGTCATGTTTTTGGAATGAAACTATAAGGAAATATGTAAAAGATAGTTCATTACCTAAAGTTATGAACTCCAATGCATCCACCAACTTTCTTTGCCTTTAATATCACATCTTTGAACCTAGAATCAATACCACTATTCTTCAAATCAATGCTAAAAATAGGGGTGCAAAATGTTTTTTAATATACTTGATAGGGAAAATATAGTTTCTCATATAAGGTTTGGTTTTGCAGGAAATAAAGGTTGTTCAGTTTCCCTACAAAGTAAGTTCACTTCGTTTCTCTAAAGAATGAAGTTTAATGTCGAAAATGGTGTCCGCAGAATTGACTGTTAAGTAAATGTTTTGGTGTGAAAAGACTTAGATTTAAGCCCTGACTCGAAATATATGTATAGTTTTTATATGAACCATGTTCATGAGTTTACATATAGCTTGTGTTAAGATCCACCAACATCTTCAATTTAAAATCTCTCAATAGTTGGACTTTAGTGACTCCTATGATTTTGAGAAGCGGCTCAAAGTGGTTGCTCACATGAATGCATTGAATGGTGCCAACTATTGGGCTTTTATCCTTTGATGGGTTTATACTGGGCCTTAACCCTAGTGTATGAGCCTGATTGGCCCATTTACTAGCATATGTGATCTTTGTATTCTTTGGGCAAGGTTGCACCACATTTTAAAACTATGAGCTGTTATCTTCAGACCATGGTTGTTAGTATCCTAGATACCCGATACGATCATACGATACGATTCGATACGGTCGCCAACGATAAGTACAGAGAGTGATCCTAAACATTCGATACGTTGATATATCCTACGATATGATACGTATCTGTTGTATCCTTAAAAATATTGATATAAATCGATACGATTTTATTAATTTGGGCCAAAGGTCCACAAAAAAAATTCGGGTCGAAACCGGGTCACCCAACCCAATTCACTAAAACTGTTCTATTTACCTATTTTGCATGAAGAAAGTGAGAGAAATATTATTGCCCATTTACATGATAATAATATATAAGTGGAGATATAGATATTGACATTGATCTTGAAATTTGTGATTAATTTTGGTATGTAATACTGTAATTAAAGTCAATAATACCACAAAATTCTTTAATTAATCTTGGGGATATTAATTTTAGAAATTTGATATTTTATTAATTTTTTGAAAAAGGTGTATTTTAAGATACGATACAATACGTGATACATGATTCAAAAATTAGGTTTTTGATACACGATACGATACACGATTTGAAACTATGTTCAGACCCTTTAGACCTTTCATTTTATCGAGAAGTGTTCAAATTTTGAATTATTTTTGTTTTTTTAGATTCGTTCCGTATCTAATAGTTTTAATAAATTTTCATCAAACAAAAAAAATATTTAAAATAATAAAAAAATCTTTTAAGATTATGAAATTATATTTTGGGTTCATGTGAGAATTAAAGTTTAACTTTTATATATATGATATATATATAAACTTTATTAAAAAAAAAAACATTTAAATGTGATCACGCTGATAAATTAGATGAGGGCTAAAAATCGGTCCCTTGTATCCCAAGATGGATTATAATGTAAGCATTAAATCTCAAGATATTCCTTTGAGGCGAATATAATGTAAACACTAAATCCTAACAAATTAAAATCTTTCCTTGATTTGAACTCTTTTGCTTTTTTAATGATGTAATAACATATCACATTATAGTGTATTTGTATTTAATATTTCTTGTGACTTATGTGACATTTATAGATAGGTAGTACCAAAGAAGATAAGCTTCTTTAATTGAAATGATGTAATTAAAAACTTCAATATAGGTATTAAGCATTGTTCAGTCTGAAGCATTTGCAGACTTCTATATTAGGAAGTTTCCAGCTTTCATATTTCTATAACATAAACAAGAAAACTTCTTAATTTAAATAGAAAAACAACGAAACAAAAGAAACCAATTAATTTGGCACAGGTACCAAGTAACTTTTTTAGAAGTTAAAATAATATATAAGCATAAAGTGGTCGCAAAAAAGCATACACTCCTAAACGGTTGACCTAAGTATGTAATTAGAGAGGACAACGGAGAATTTAAGAAATCAAATATATTTTGAATTATGGCTGTGAACAAAGATCAGATCCTCTCATGATACGAGTTTTACCTAAACAAAACAACATATCCAATCTTGCAAGTTATTGAAACAAAAACACTGGAGTCCTCCATGCATAAGAAGTTGAAGGTTCAACGACCAACAACGAGGATTGAATCGGTGGTAGACACGGCGGCAACAGAAGCATTTCCAAACAATGAAGGAATGGCATCTCGACCTCATTGTCCGGAGCTTCATCTTTGCTGTGAATAGACTGGTTATATTGCTTGTAGATGGTACATCTGGCAAACAAACATCGCCATCCAGATACTGCATCACCTGCCCATGGTAGGCGACCTACTGGATTTCGGAAACAACAAAGAGGCCGAGTTTTAGCACCAACTTCATTTCACCTCCGCAAAAACACTTTTTAACTGTGGATCACTAGCATCAAGAATCGACCCTCTTCCAGCAATCAGCCACCCAATAAACCAAATTCCCCCTCTCAGGCAACCCGTTTTGCTCAAGAGGCCTCTTCCGCAAGCCACCTCAAGCATAAAAATCCAAAAGCATATACATCCGTGCAAGTAGTTGCCTTTCCAGTCCTCAGTAGCTTGGAGCATGTAACCAAAAGTTCCCACCAGCTTGGTGGTTTGGGGATTGCCACATGATCATAATCTGGCGAGCCCAAAGTCTCCTAATTTTCCATTCAGATCTGCATCTAAAAGAACTTTCCGGTTTTATATCTCTGTGTAGAACCACGTTCCCACTCTCATGGAGGTAAAGAAGGCCAGAAGCTATTCCTCTAATGATTCGAAACCGTTGAAACCAACTAATCTTGGTAATGTATTTTTGTATAACATTTTGTCCAGGTTCATGTGGCATATATCATACCAACAGAAATTCTCCCTTCGCCGCAATATCCGCAGATTGCACCAGGTTCCGATGCTTAGTCTTCCCATGCTTGCAATCTCAGCAACAAATTCCTTTATCCCTGTTTTGAATCTTGGGACACTTTCTTAACTGCGATTGTTTACTAGAAGAGAAAGCACGCCTCTATAAACTTTCCGAAACCTCCTTTTCGATAAGCTCACTGTTTTGAAACCCTTAGTTGGTATAGAGCTTCTTATAGAGATTCTTGTGGACTGTATTCCCTTTCCCAATCTTCATACACTCTTCATATTTCTTCTTCTTCACAAGTAAACAGATCCACTGATTGCTATCAGTGCACCCAACATTGGTATTAAGAAAAAAAAAATTGTTGAGACGTGTGCGTTACCATTGTCTAAAGATGAAGAAGATGGAGGCATTGGGGGAAGCTTGGAAATATCAAGGTTTTGAGCTTGTCCAGTCCTGTTGAAGCTCCATCCAAGAATATAGGATAAAATTCCATCTGGATCAGTTGATGCAGAGAAGCCAACATACATAGAATCTAAGAGAATTTGAGAAGGATCGAGGGGTTTTGACAAGAGAAGCTTGCTTGGTTTTGGAACTTTGATGGGAGCTAGTGTTACATTGAGTAACATTTCTGCTGCATTGTAGTCTATCCAAATTTGTATTGGACCTGTACCTTCTAGACTCATGTCTTTGTAAATCCCTTCTTCATCGGAAAAGTAACTTGCTGAAGCAGATTGATTAGATATGAGGCTGTTGATGTAAATTCCAACCTGGTTATCTTCTATATCAAAAAATTCAGGGCTAAGAGCAGAACCGAACTTAACCGCCAAGATATGGTTTGTAGAGAGGCCATTGTTTGAATAGTTGAAGAGTCCTAAATATGCACCTGGAAAAGCTTTACTGAAGTCCATGGACGGTGAGATGACAAAAGCCACACCACGGCCTAAGCCAGGGCGATAGTTTAAGCTATCCATTGCAAATACAAAATTTGTGGAAAACGAAAGAGATTGAGAGGAAGATGTATTGAATCTGAAAGGAAAAGGGTAGAAAGCATGAGCCATTTTAGGAGTATAATATGAATCGGTCAGCTGCAATAGACCACTAGGTTGGATCTCAGCGACGCCATCCAAATGTAAATTGGAATCAGATAAGCCATGGAAGATGAAGTAGTTTTCTCCTTGAGCCAACGCCAAAGATATCAAGGATACGCTGAAAACTACATAAACGTAAAGTGATCTAAGAGCTGCAGCCATTGACAAAGGCTGAGGTTTGGACTCTTTCATCCAAAATTAAGCTTATGTAAACAAGTTTAGTTCATTGCATTTGTAAAGAGGACATGGTTAATCAAAGTTGACCCAACGTCAACCAAGAAACACGTTTTAGTCTATTAACTATGTATTCAATTTCGATTTTTGTCAATTGTGCGGACAATTTGTCCATTTTGTAGACTTTTATATCTTTTTATTTTAATATAGAATCTTTGTTTCTTATATATATATAGATTGTGATGTGTATTCTTGTGTGGCTTTCTATATCACATTCTTAACAGATAAATTTTACAAACTTATCAAAACATTACTAGGTCAATAAATGATTTGCTTATATGTATACTTATTTGTATGGTCTTGAATTAAAGCATCCTTAGATTGATGCAATTTGTATTCATTAAGATTATGACATAAGTTAAAAAGCCATTAAGATGAGGGACAATTGTATTGTATTCTGGGGGGTGAACTATAAAAACCCCCACAATGTGACTTCGTACCAAGACCGAACAATACCCAAAAAAATAAATGTTGATAGTTAAGACTTAAGAGTTATAATAGAAATATCTCTTTAGTCACATATCTCCCAAATCTCTCGCTTTAACCCATCTCTCTGTTATAACTCAACCTTCTACTGTCTTATTATTATTATACTGAATAAAATTCATGTTCCCGCCCATAGTTTCATAAATTCTAGATTCCCACCCAAAAACCAACACTACCGTTAGCAATTTTTAGGTTTTGACATAGGTGTAGAGCATACTATTACCATACTACCCTTGCCAAATAAATTAATAAATTACTTTTAACCCCCAAATTAGTAAAATTAAAAAAATAATCATCTTACTTTTTGTTGATGCTGGATTTTGGCACCAACGAATTGCCACGTGCGTAACGCTGATTGGCCAATAAACACACGTGATAATGAATATAGAAAGCGAAATAAATGCAAAGAGAGTTTTTAAAGTGGTTCGGATGCTAAGGTAGCAAGTCNTCAATCCTTTTGGTTTGCTCCACTGATTACTAGCGTTTTCCTTCCCCTTCTTATCTCCAGCATGTTTCTTGTTTCCTCCCTAAGTTGGCTTGCCTTTATGTAGGAAAACCAATGCTCCTTCACCACTATCCTCTTGCTCAACTTCTTTCTTTGCTCTTGAGCTTGAAGTGTATGAACAAGCTCAGTCTCGGTGATCTGAGACATGTCCTTGGAATCCTCCAAAGAAAAAAGATTTTTGTTTTATTCAAACCTCTCGGGTAAGCTCACCAATACCTTCTCTACTATTCGTTTATCAATTATCTCCACCCCCCCCCCCCCCCCCCCCCCAAAAAAAAATAAAAGGCAACCTAATCTAGTTAACCACATTCATTAATCTATCAATATACTCCTTAACCACTTTAGTTTCTTGCATATTTAGTGTCTCAAACTCTCTCCTTAAGTTCAAGATTTGCATATTTTAGGTTTGACTATTTCCTCAAATTCTTCCTTCAGCTTGTACCAAGCTTCCTTTAAGCCATTATCCTTGTGAAAACTTGATTCGTAGTAGTAGCATGTATATGAGACAAAGCTCTTGGAGCTTTTGCAGTTTCTTCTTCATGGATTCTTATTTGATTCAAGGTTGGATTTGGCGCCAACTGTGGTGGCTGCTTCTCCTTTTTTACATACTGCCATAAGCTTTGACCTCTTAGGAAAGCCTTCATCTTAACAGCCCACATATGGTACTGTTCTCCATTGAAGGTTAGAGGTGAGTATGAAGCTGAACTTGTTGCCATGAAGGCAGGTTTAGGGGGATGAGAACTGAATGAGAAAGTGCAGAATGTAAGCTTTGCAGGCCCTTTAAGATCAAGTTGAGCTCTGATACCAATTATTGGTTATTGGAGCTGGAACATAGACTAAGTACACTAGAGAGAACTAAGAAGAAAGATGAGATAAGAGAGCTAACGACAAAGTTCTACCTGAATTCATTAAGAAAAAACAGAGTTTATAAAACTTTGTGTCCCTGTAATACCTAACATTCAGACATATTTTAACATCAAAATACATCCTAACCGTACAACCTTAACAACTAAATTTACATTACATTAACATGAAATATAGTTGATAACTTAATGTGTGTTGAACCTACCAAAAACAATCACTTCATCATGGCCAAAAATCAGCTTTGGTGAACCACTCCTAGGCCATTCTTCATCACTTCAAATTCTGCATTCGACAACAATTTTCCAACTTCAGCTGACAACCAAAAACAGTTTGTTTCAAGCAAAATATCATCACTTTGAACAATTTCCAGTTTGATTACATGAAGCCGAAATCTATTTATTTCCTTGTGGAACTATAATAGATACCATGTGAATCTCGTTACTAAAGTTGAGAAGCTGATGGATGCTAGAGAGCATGTGAAGCATAGGATGAAGTTTTATAGAAGAAACGGAGAAATGATTTTTGAGGATGTTTTGAAATGGATGACTAATGTTGAAGAGCTCGTTGATGGTACAAAAAAGACTTTTGAAGGCTTTGAGCAGAAAGCAAATACCTATTGTTTCATCTGGTTATGTCCTGATTTGATTACCTTTTATCACTTGGCAACAGAGTAGTGAGTCAGCTGAAGGTTGTTGCTAAACTCCAAGAAGAAGTGATAGAGTTTCATATACTATTATTCTGCCCAACGTATGGCTTACTTTTACTAATGATCATGAGACCTTTGGATCAAGAGACGTTTTGGAGCATATATACGACTCAATACTTGATCATCCTGATGTCAACATGATTGAGGTATATGGAATGGGTGGCATTGGCTAGACTGTCTAGTGAAACAAGTTGCTACTTGAGTCGAGAAAAATAACCTCTTTGATGTTGTGATTTTTGCAAAGGTAACCTCGATCCAGACTTAAAAATGATTCAAGGAGACTTAAAAATAACCTATTTGATGTTGTCTTTTGCTATTGCTTCAATTGTAATTTCATTAACAGGCAAGAGTGTATCTGCATGGCGTAGTGTCTTTTGAGGTTTGGGAAGGCCTTCATTGAATAACTTTACCAGAATACTTGTGGAGGTTTATTCAAGTATAGAGTTGAGTTACAATTGTTTGGAAGGTGAGGAACTCTAGTCAACTTTTTTACTTTGTTGTCTAATGAAATATTTTGATGATGTTTCCATTATAGACTTGTTGAAATGTGGAATGGGTTTGGGTTTATTTGATGACAACATTATGCTAGAAGAAGCACAAGTCAAAGTATTTGCATGCATTGGTCCACGCACTCAAAAGCTCGCGTTTGTTGCTTGAGGATCATTCCATTCAATGGTTTTCTATTCATGAAGTTAGGGGTGGGAAAAAAGTCCGAAAACTAAACTGAACCGAAAATTTGGTTTTTCAAAAATCGGTTCGGTTCGGAAAAATCCATAAACCGATTATTTGGTTCTGTTTATGGATTTTTTCAAACCAGTTAACCAAAACCGGATTTTAAAACCGGTTTAAAGACAAAAATCCCTAAGTATATATGGGTCCACGCCACTTTTCTCTTCCTTTTTCATTTTCCTCTTCTTTTCCAGTTCTCCGCCACTTTTCTTTTCCTTTTCATCTTCTCTTCCTTCATTTCTTCTTCTTCACTTTTCATCCGCCACTTTTCTCTTCCTTTCTCATCTTCTTCTCATTCATTTCTTCTTCTTCACTTTTTACCTTTTTTTCATCTTTTTTACAAAGTACTTTCATAGAAAAATCTAATGTGTACTCATTTGGTGTAGTGTTGTTTGAAATATTGTGTATTAGATCACCTGCACTTCGAGTGCTAGATAAAAAGCAAGCGAGTTTGGCTATTTGGATATAATGATTTATTATGAGATCTGTCATTCTGATTATCATATCATATGGTCAAAAATGACAATGGATTTTCATCCTATCCTGTTGTTCCTAGGTATATTGTTCCTGGTTATGCTAATCCAATCCCTTCTCATATTTTCCTTCTAAAATCATTACCCAATTTAATATATTAATTACTTTGTTATGAAATTACAAGCATGAGATTGTGGGAGTGGTGACCCAAGTGGGGAGCAAGGTGAAAAAATATAAAATTGGTGAATAAATGACAAAATTGGTTCAAAACCGGTTAACCGATGAACCGAACTTATAACCGGTTTAACTATATAATCGGTTCAGTTTCAGTTCACGTTTTTCTTGAACCGAAAAACCGGTTTTGTTTAGAAATTGTCCTATCCAGTTTGGTTAACCGAATTTTCCCACCCCTACATGATGTTGTTCGTCTGGTTGCCATGTCAATTGCAACAAGGGATCAACACTGAGAGATGAGGCTCTTTTCTCAAATTGGCTAGATCAGGATGCAATTAGAGGTTGCGTTGCAATCTCCATTACATGATTGTGTTATTAGGGAGCTTCCTGAAGGTTTGGAATGTTCATAACTCAATTTTTTCAATCTGCTTGCTAGGAATCTGTTTGTGAAAGTTGCAGACAATTTTTTGATAGGAATGACAAAGCTCAGTGTTCTAAGTTTAACCAAAATGCACTTGTCATCATTGCCTTCCTCACTTCGTCTCTTAGTAATCCTTCGCACATTGTGTTTAGATCAATGCATATTAGGAAACATAGTTGGTATCCAAGACTTGAAGAACCTAAAAATCCTTAGCTTATTCCATTCTTATATTAAGTTTAGTGGGGTCAATATAAATTTAAGAGTTGTCAAAATTGTAAATATAAAATATAAAGCCTTTTTTTTTTTTAAAGTTTGAGTGAGTTCAATATGAATTTAAATGGGATCAAAATTGTAAATACCATAAAATATAAAACTTTTTTTTTTGGTTTTTTTTTTTAAGTTTGAGTGGGTTCAATTGAACCCATATGTATAGTGTGGCTATGTCTCTGAACACAAGCATCAAAAAGTATGGGATTATTAGGAAATTGAATGGAATTGAAAAACTATATTTAGATGAATTGCAAGGAAGCTATATTTATCAGGAAGCTCTCTATCATTACTATCACGTA